CTCTCACGAACTCTTACCAAGCTTGCTCCTTCATTGTCAAACATGGATTCATAAGCGCAGCGCTAATAAACAAAGAGAGAGTGTGCACGTTTTGTGAAAGGGGGTCTTGTCACTTAAGTCCCGTGGCCTATGATCTGTTTTCTTTGGGTCATCTGATAGAGTTTTTGATCAAAGATCCTCTGAATTTGTTGGGTGCATTTTATGATTAAAATTTTGGGTTTTATTTGATTTGCAGAAGCAACACCAAAGACGATAATGAGAACGATGATCAATTTTTCTAGGAAGGAGATGGGGGCACAAGATAATTTAAAAAGGCATCTCCTTGAAACAATGAGGTACACATGAGGTGACACGACAATGGAGTCGTGCGAGTGAAAGTTAAAAAAAATGTTAAGAAAATATGCAAATTAAAAAGTATAATAACTAAAAAAATTCTATAGAACGTTGTGATGTGGCATGGTTCTCTGACAGAACAGTCCGGTCGTGCCCGAGAAAGGGTAAGAACAGGCCAGTTCACGAGAAGAACTGGCTATTCATGGAGCAACCAACTGGTTCTCAATATTTACAATGCTTTGGATCGGCCTGACCGATTTTCGATCTTGATCAGCCGGTTCCAATCCGGATCACAAATTTTTAAAACATTGATCTAAACTATGCTTCCTCACTAATCTTCAACCATCAAACTGTATCTTGGCCATCTGACACCAGAATGACCTGATTTTTGGACCACCTCTAGGGCACCCTAGATAAAGTTTGGGACCTTTGGATGACAATTTAGGGGAGACCATCTATTCAATAGTTCAGCAATGCGGCTACTCTGATTCCTTCGTTTTTACATAGGGCTATTTTACCTCATCTCATGGGGTATATGTCCAGTCCCGATGGTTCTTGCATTTCTCCAGCAATTACAGTGTCGGGGGCTCATTTGAGGGGTCAGATCTACGCATTGTGTTTGGCAAGCTGCCGTTTCGTATCATTATCATACTTCGTTGCAATTTTCTAGCGGTTACAGTGTCAAGGGCTCACTTGAGGGGTGAGCTCTATGCATTGTCCATGGGGAGCTGCCATTTTGTCTAATTATCATACTTCACAAATTTACAAGACAATATAGCGGCTATTGGGACTTCATGCCACATCAACAAGGGTGACATTGTAATCTGCTTCTGTGCAATGGGCTCATAGTGACTGTTTTCCTACGTCGCCTCGAGAATTCTTCTTTTGCACCAAAATACCCCCAAACAAAAGCATGCATACAAGGCTCGAATTTCACTTAAAAGCATGGAATTGATTATCAAGAAACGTTTGCACCACTTGCTAAAATGTTCTCCCTGTGATGACCCATATACTTAAAAACAAGCCAGTAAGAATACTAGCTCATATAGATCCAAATTTGGAAACTCGTGCATTTCCCGAAGCCTGAGCAAATGTTCACCACGATTCACATTCAGAATCTACACAGGTAAGTCAAGATTTCATAGGGCCCAAGAATCTTAGGGGCCATGGAATTACTCCCCTAACTATCCATACAAACAGTGTTGTGAAATATTAAGATGGTTTCAACGCAGGGCCTTCCTTTGCGTGTGCTAGCTATTTTGTGCTACCATTTGCTTAACTGGGGAGTGCCTGAGAGCTATATGCCCAGACCAACCCACCATCACAAAGCAAACAGTATCTAATGTCATCTCCAGTAGTTTGCTCAATCAAATAGGCTAATAAATAACATATTTAGGTTATAACAATGAGTGATCTAAGTCTAGAGCATCTACATTGATCTTAAAAATATGACTCAGGTAACCAAAAATATCCTTACAAGGGGCTGGCAAGAGTAATCTCAACCTCAACCGCAGCGACAATGATATAATCACATCATAAGTAATGGTCTAGCCAATGAACATGTGTCACACCATCCCTCTCGGCAAGAAACCTCACAACCATAAAACCTGTAAAAGCTCATCTAGCTACGGTGAGGAAGGGAGGAATCATATGTATACTAAACCTCAGTCCTTGTCAAGATGTACCCATTGTAGGAATCCTTAGACTAGAGATGGATGAACCCTCAATCTCAAGCAGATTCGCTAGTGAAATCCCTTGTCTCCCAGCTTGAAGGAGAAGGTGTTGATAGATAACGAAAGCATTTTACCAAAGCTCTAAACGGGTTTCAATCCTAGAAAAAAATCAATGCAGCGCCATAGAAACCAATATGCCTCAACTCCACTTGCATCCTAGAAACCAACGCAAAATCACCGGTATCTATTCACAAATCTACAAGGATTACCTGCCAGACGCTAGGAATGGAACCACTTTGACTAATGGGTCATCTATTTCGGATGCAACTCATAAAATGCACGTGTCAGAGAGGGATGACCCATAGTCTTGGGCAATCAAAGTCATGAGAACCACACCCTCCTATCTTAACCCGAAGAAATGGTACTCTAGTTGGAAATGTGCTCTTGTTCACAGGTGTCCTAGGATGAAAAACGACCTAAACAATAGCGTCCGTTCGTAACCCTCATCCTCATCAAAAAGCAGGCACCGCATATGCATCTAACACTACAACAAACTAAAGATGTATTCATCTAGGGTGCCAAGATTTTTCTCTACTCATGTCAACACTGGACAGGGCCTAGAGAAAGAGAAACTGCACAAAACCCCAAATTCCATGAAGATTTCTCTCTTCAGTCCAGAACCTCACATAGGGCATAGATAGGAAAAAAAACCCATAAGGTGCAAGAGCCTGCAAAGATTTCTCGCTTCAGGCCAGAACCCCACACGACTGGAGCGAAAAACTCGACAAGGAACCAAGCCCACAAGGATTTCTCCTTCTTCAAGCCAAAGCCCTGCACATGGCCTAAAGAGGAACATTTGAATGCAAAACCTCAAAGCCAGAAACAATTCCTTTGTGATGAATTTCATGCCTCTCTGAGAAACATCCTTTAAGATTAGTAGCCAAGAAATACCAAAAAGAGCACACTTTTGATATCTTGGATCGATAATCTAAGAAAATGGAGAGAATGAGGAAGATGTCACACATAGAATTAGAACTGGGTGGAGAAGTGGAGATGTGCAACCGGAGTTTTATGTGATCGCCACATACCAATGAAGCTGAAGGGCAAGTTCTATAGGACAAATATGAGACCAGTTTTATCTTATGGGGCGCAATATTGGACGGTTAAAAAATAACACACCCATAGAATGAGTGTAGTTGAGATGAGGACGCTGAGATGGATGAGTGGCAAGACACTAGAAAATAGAATTCAAAATGAATACATTCAGAAGAATTAGGTGTGGTACGAATAATCGATAAGATGAGAAGTAGATTTCGGTGGGCTGCCATGTGTGGCGCATACCCAGTACAACAACTAACACGAAGTACGAATTAGTTCAAGTGGAATGCTCAAAAAGGACAGGGGATAAGCCCAAAAGGACATGGTTGGAAGTAATGAAAAAAGATATAGGGATTTATGGCCTCACTGAGGGTATGTCCCTTAATAGAGCAGAAAAGCAGACAAAGATTCGTGTATTCGACCCCAATTAGTTGGAAAATAGATTTAATAATGACGATGACGATGATGATGACGTGTTTCATTGTATTCATGGGACTTTCCCACTAGTTGTAAACATCGATACTCACCTTCAGAACTAGTTAGCCCGGTCCTTCTCCCGGAGTCTAGGAATGTGTGAAGGACATCGTGACTTCAAAGTCTGTCCAACAGACCACATTTTCTTTTACCAGTCCTCATATAGACCACATTTCCTAGCTAGAAAATTGAAGGGACAAGCACACTCAAATGGAAAACCAGGTTCAAAAAAGTAAATAAGTGCACAAAAATAACAAAGAAATATATTTGTTGTTCTCACATCGAAACCACAAACTTTTATGACTATTGTTTGTTAAGAACTTCTAGATAAGAAAACACCAGGTTATTCACAAAGAACATAAGTCGTTAGTTTCTTGAATTCCTGCTTTTCAAGCACCTTTGTGAAAATCTTAACCATCTTCTCAAAGTCCCAACCAGTACAATATTCACCTCCTTTTCAAGCACCTCATTCCAATGTGTGTTTAGAAGTAGATTTTCTTTATTCTACAATGGAAGTCTATACTTGCCAAACAGCACTCAAATTTTAACAACAACCAGAATGAATATACAAGCAACCTTGGAGGATCCAAATGGATGGCACAGGATTTACGAAGAAAGCTGAAACAAATATATGGGATCAAGAGTTCAGCACAAGCATTGGGGGCTAGAGAATCACTCTTTTTTTTTTCTTGGGGGGGGGGGGTGGCGGGGGGGGGGGGGCAATAATGGCAAACAAGGGCATTCTCACTCTTGCACCATTATTGGGAGGATAGCACCATCAAACTCTAAATTTCTAATATTGCACATTCTCTAGGCACAAGAACAAAATCAAGTTCAGAGACATTTAATTTAGAGAAGTCATGTAACTGACATCATTATCTAGCCTAATATATCTTCCAGATAAGAAAAATGAAGTAAAAGACTCCACATTTGAAAACAACTATTTCATCATAATGTAGCCTAGTCCTAAAACTAGAATTAAGTGATGAAAATAACCAACCATGTAAGACACTCCTCGCCTAAACTATATCGCAACAAGTATCATCAGTTCACAAGTCCTAAAACCAGAACCATATGAAATAGAACCATCAGTATACAGATGTTATTCTTCATTTATTTTAGTATCAAATTACTGGCGTTTAACCAACTATAATCACCTAAAGTGTCAAAAACGCCCACTACTTGTTGTTCACCCTTTCATAATAAGGGAGATAGGGTAGATCCCACAACATCAAGGTTGTGCCAACAACCACCTTCCCATGAGCTATGGGCTTGTACCATTTTATTTTCAACTATTCTAATCGTTAAATATAACATTTCCATTTTGTTTAATCTTTCATATTATATGCACATCTTAAGCTCTAATTATTTCAAGTTTACCACTTTTGAGAAGGAAAAAATAAAAAAGGTTTTCAGGTTTACCTACAATAAACAGGATGGATGTTCCAGAAAGGAGAGTTGCGGAAGACCACATTGGATATTATAATATCGTTAGAGTTGATGAGCTCAATGAGATTCGGCCTAGTGAACTGCAAGGATCTGTCCCGCCACATATTCCACCAAACCTCGCCCTGACCATCAATTGTCCCATTCTCACCTATAAAATTGAGGATCATATCAGGGACTTGTTAATTACTAAACAAATGCCATTGTGATCCGATTAAAAACATTACCAGCAATAAGAAGTAACAGAAAATCAGACAGAATATTAATCAAAGAGAAAATAACAAACGATCCATGCCAGTGTTCTAAAGCAAGGCTCAGGCGAAGTACTCAGCCCTATGCCGAGTCGAGTGACTCACACGAGTCCATGTGGACTCTGGCCCAGGACAAGCCATACAAGGGGGCAGGAAAAAGTCAAAATAAATTACTAAAATTGTGAAAAAATAAGAAAATAATAAAAATCCAAAAAATATACAAAAACAAAAAACATGGAATTGGAAAATTTTAATTTTTTGAGGTTAACCAAATCAAAGTTATGAATTCAAATCACAAAAAAATAGAACATAAAAACAATCTGGAATTTTCTTTTCTCGAAACTAGTATTTCTAATGGATAGATCAAGGAAACATTATGCTAAAGACTGGATTTTGGCTCAAAAGGCACACCTAGGGCCTTCAAATTGAAGAAAACGAAGAAAAAATCTGGCCATCCTTTTTATACTTAGAAGTTTGCATTACCCAGGCAAATACTGTAACAACTTTGTACAATACTCAGGCAAGTCTGAACAGCACTCACTGAGTAAAATACAAAGTACATCTACGTACACTGTCTGGGCTTAGAAGCCTCCCGAGCTTGAGTAACTCACCCAAGTCCGAGTTCACTCAGATGAGTTTTTAAAACCTAATCTATAGTAATTGAATAAAGGAAGAACAATATTACATCGAAACAACAAGATAAGGCCAATCAAAAAAACATACTGCAATATAAAATTACACAACAGGTCAATCACCTAAACAAACAAAATAATAAAAACACAAAATAGGAAGTTCGATGATACAGACATTTCAATACGATATGCCCAGATAATTTAAGCAAAAAACTCAGTAAATGCTTCTGCTGCCAAGCCAAAACAGATGTGCGATTCACAAGTATTCTTAATATTTGTGTATTGTGTAGGAACAAGATTAAAATTTGTAGGCACATGAGCAAGTTGTTAACAAATGAATGTTCACCACTTTTGATATCACATGTAGATTCATGAATTTTAGTTTGTAACCAAGGTTTACATGGATTTTTGTTGTATGGCAATGGGTTTCTCATAATAATTTCGTTAAATTTGCTTTGCCTCAACTAAAGAGGCTGAAGACTTCTGCTACGGGCTGCAAACCAAAGCAAACTGAATCCCACCAGACATTTTCAAAATTATAGCAAAATAGAAATACACAGAATGGCAGACCAGGATTCATGTATCATGATGATGAGAAATATACCGAAAATATCAGGAAAACATAAAAATTTAGTTAACATAATGCCAATATTTAAGTAAAAAAATATGAGTACTTATAAAAACACCAAGTTATACATATTTTCTTTAAATTTTTACCTCTCATATTTTAGGGAAAAAGAGGGAGAAAAAAAAAGAGGTCCCCATCGAATAGCCCAAGTGCCAAAACAATTAGGCTTCCAAAGCAAATCTAAACATTGGTGCGCACTAATATATCTGTTTTTAGGAAGAATGATTTACAGCACGACCTACAAGAGTTAAACAAGGTGACCACACACATTCATGAATCAAAAATGGAGGAATTGAAAGTTATCAGGGCCAAAGCTTTCATGCATCCATGAGAAAAAATTAAAGGCCAGAAAGATGATCAGGGGAAGGATCCTGTGAGGTGAAACAAGAAAAGAAAGAAAATTAGAATCTAGGGATATCTTGAAAATTTGTTAGCCTGGGATTTTCTTGGAAATTTGTATACTATTTTGGTACCTTTCAGATTAAGGATACTTGAGCAATTTGTTAACCCATTATATTTTGGTAATTTTCCAACAGGGGAAAATTGCCCGTAAAGACTTTCTTTTATGGCAGGTAAGTTGCCATTTGAACGATCGCCATTAGTTTCGTAGCTGTTACACCAAAACGACCTCAAGAAGATAAGTTTAAAAGATATCATTTCTTTTTATAATTGATTGTAGAACAAATAATTGGGTGACTATACTTGATTCATAACGCTAAAGGTCTGTGTTTTCTTCATTCCAAGGCACCCAATACCACTTATTCACAACTATGAAAGATATTACGAACTTTGGGTGGGAAGGAATCAGCTCCAAACATGTAGGGAGAAACCACCAATAAGAGGAAAATTCTAGCTTAATTACAAAGAGGCTTAGGTCAAACTACACAAATGTAAAGTAGTGATTAGTTGCATTTGAAGCTCTTTGAGAACTCCTCACCAGGTAAGTGAGTGTATTAAGTATCCAAAATTGGATTTAGAATCTAATAGAGAGTTTATATAAACTGGGTCTAGCACAGAATACAAATTAAAACAAAATAAACCAAAAAAGAAAGGGTCTAACAAGAGCTCATATAGGCTGGAAAAGTAATTATTGGGGTTTGTGGCCTTTAAAGGCCTTAAGAGCATGTAGGACTAAATACTTGATAGTAGATGTTCACACTCCAGTGGGTGTGTTTGATGACCGACCATGAGGTTGGGTGGTGTATGGGCCCAACGTCATATCTAAAACCCTAACTTCTAGCCATAGGCACTACCGATGAGGGTTAAAGTAGTTCATCCCTTGCTGAGGTCAGAGATGATGAGCGCCACAAAGCCGTCGGGATTCCTACATGCGGTTGCGGCACTATTAGGGCAAGGGCCGAATCCCCAACAACCATTGCATGGCCTATACACAACATAGCCGCATTCTAAGAAACAGCCCTATAGAAGTAAGGGCACCCCCTTCATTCTGTCAAAATTATATCACTTCAAGGTCTTAAATTCCAACATTTTCAAATAACTCTTGACTTCAGTGGGAGTATGAGGGTGACATGACTCTAGGATTTTGGCACACTAGGACTAAGAGTCATAGAACCCTGATTATGTCAAGAGGGTTGAGGGTTATCTCTTAGTTATATGGGAGCTACTAAGAGGGTTGAGGGTTATCTCTTAGTTAGAGTCGGTTATTATGTTTGTGCCTCATGACTGAGTGATGGGCTAGGTCAATACGATTTATGTATGAGCTTAATGACAAAAAGCCCTATATGGGAAGGTTAGGGCCAATAGAGGGCATTGGCCTAAATCCCTGACTACTACGAACCTTCTTGTAGCATGTGCATATACAGTCGTAATGCAGAAGTAGCTCTTCAAGGGATCTACTAGATAAAGATATGTACATGTGGTAAGAGAGGAACCCCCGTACCATGTGTGTACATGTCCCCTAGCGGGTGCACATGAAATCCACTTAAACTTAGGGATTCAAAGTCACACATCGGTTTGACTTTGATAGGTTGAGATCATGAGACTCTGATTACACATTGTGGGTCATTAGTCTGTAGGGTCATCCCGAGAACGTGACATTGGATTCCAGGTCTAGCTTAGTGGAGTGCGCCATTTTGCAATTCAACTCTAAGGATCCTAATTTTCCTTATAAATGTTTTTAATCAATGCCTAAATGTTTTAATTTCAAGAAAAATCATTAAAATGATTTTTGAGAATTTATGGGATTTTTTTGGATTTTTCTAGGCAAGAAAATCTGCTTTTTGAAATTGTTTTGAAGTAATGACAAAAAAAGACGGTCCCCAAGGACCGACACGGGACACACAAATGGCCAATTGGTGTCCACATGCCAACCTCATGGGATCCCACATCCCCGCAAGTGGAGATGACGTGGGGGTGACATCAACCCTATATGGGGACCCCGTTGCCATTTGATTGTTGTTTCAAGTTATGTAGTGTGGTATTTTGGATTTTCCAAAAATATTGCTTTTCGGAAAAAAAATTTGCACATGTCAAATGCCTAAAGAAAGTCGTATGTACACGTGTGGAGAATTCTAGAAGGGGTATAGGGGTTGTAATTACAAGCCTAACCCTAAAGACATATGGTAAAAGTGCATAAACCACTTAGCTTATGTGGCATTATTTCATTAGCCTCACATACACTTATAAAATGGAGGGAATTTTCAAAGATTTGTTTTTGTTGGATTTTTTGTGAAATGACCATAAGGGCATACCCTCTATCTTGGTTTTGAGCTTTATTAAATGTGAGGAGCATGGGCTTTTTGACAACAAGGGAAATTGGAGTAAATTAAGGAAGATAAATGTGTTTAAATGCAAATCATACATCTTGATGGCATGATGGTGAATTGTGGGATATAGGATCATGCCTCTCTATATAGCCTTTGATAGATAACATAGAAGGCCAAGATTCATCATCTAGAAGGATTTCCACAATTAGGAGTTGAAAAGTTATAAATACCCCCTTGAGCCTCTCTTTCTCACACATGAATTCACCTCACAAGTTCTCCCTCCAAAAGTGGCATGCCCCTCTCTCTTCACTCTCTCTTTGGTTAGCATGCCCAAAGTCTTCATCTCGTTGATTTCCTCTCCAAAAAGCCACTTTATGTTAAGAGAGAGAAGAGCTTCATTGAAGGTCTCATACTGCTTCATTAATGGTGATCCACAGCTCAAAATTCAAGCCATTGATGATCTAGTTTTCAAGCCTTCTACAATTAAGAAAGATCCAGTGTTTCAAAAAGCGGACCACCAAGTGCCTAGGCGGTTCTGGGGGTTTTGGCGCATCGCCCAAGCCTAGGCTCCCAAAAAAAGCAGCATACCCTCGATGCCCTCCTAGGTGCCCACGAAATCGCCTAGGCAGCCAGCCAGCCGCCCAGCGCCCAGATTTGGGTGGCCACCCAAGGACAGCTCCCCGCCCAGAGGCGGAAAAAGCACTCGGTGGGGACATTTTTTGTCATTTTGTTTTATTCTAATGGCCCAAAAATGTTCGTTTTAGGTTCATTTAAAACTTAAAACTTATTAGAGCTCATTTTAGAGAGGGAGCCTCCAAAAAACTAGTTTTGGTGATTTCTTTTAGATCGTAGAGTTTCTCAAAGTTATGAAAAATTGATCAAAACATCACCCATTGATATTAGATTTAATTTTT